AAATTTTCAGTGAAGCTGGAAATTCAGTCAACCTCACTGTAACAGTGGTCGTCAGTCAACATTTGCAGGGAACAGTGTACTGTTACCCCCTGACGTCTTAGATTTTGCAATGTTGCCTGCTAAGAGATTATGGCGGGAAACAGTTTCATTGTTAGATGTCATGTCACCTCATAGTAACCAATGATACCATGCACTATTGGGAAAAAATTCTAGCCATATAACAAATAATCATATATAACATATATAACAGGATTAAAAACTCCAACTGGCAGGAGTCAACCAACTGGCAAGTTACAAGCGTGCTGCTGAGGATTTGAACTCTGGCTGACCGAGAATGCTGAATGTAGTTAGAGGTCAGAGTGGGACTCAAACTGGACCTGGGATCATGGGATTGCGAGTTCAGCATGCTTGCCACTCAGCCACGCTGCCTCCCTCTGTGATAAAACTGGTCCTAAGGATGGTTTTTTTACTGTGAATTACTCAGAAACCTGTGTAGACTAGAAATATTTCTGAAATGTTATTGTGTGCCACGCAGGCCAGCATGAGAACACTGCCAAACTCCAAGCTGTCCAGAACTTTGCCTGTAAAATTGTTAGCAGGGCCCAGAGATACGACCATGTAACTCCCATTCTCAGGCAACTCAAGTGGCTCCTAGTTAAAAAACAGCTGTACTATCGCGATTTATTTATGGCATTTAAATGAGTGAACTGCCTTGTCCCAGAGTATCTATCTGATCAGTTTATTAAACGCTCATCTATATCAACCCGCAGAACTAGAGACTCACAGTTGTTAAATATTCCTTTATTTAGATCTGCAACTGGCCAAACAACTCTTTCTTATAGAATAATTTCTCTCTGCAACGCTCTGCCGCAAAATATCAAGTTAAGTTAATCGTTAGCACAATTTAAGACTATGATGAGAAAAAGACTTCTAACGAACTCTAATAGAACACAGCCAGGACAAGAACCCAGTAATAAAATTAATAGTTTAATCATTAGGTACTTTACTTCCTGTATTTTAATTTTTAGACACGTAGAACTTCTTGTGTTTTGTTTTATTTCATGCCATTCGATTTTGTCAAATATTTCACTGAAAAGCCCTGTGGGGACGTGAAATAAATGTCTGTATATACATATATAACACTTACCTGGACGTATTTTGGATTCTAAAACAGGGCAGCAACCGTGTATCCTGTGATTTTCGAGAGCCAGACACTTCAAAGCACCTCTGGACTTTGTCTGAACCTGAATGCAGGAAAATGGTTCACCTCTTTTCTTTGGGAAATCCATCTCCAGAAGCATTGCAGTAAGTTTGTTTTTCAAATTTATGGCTGTGAAAGTTAAATTTCCACATACCAATACTATTCAGGGGCACCTTAGGACAGTTTACTCCTAAATACATTGAAAACACTTTTTAGGTTAACCAGAGAACGTTTAGATCTCTAGAAATACATCTAAGCGGCGCTATAAAATTAATTTTTGTTTTGCCATCCTAGAGGAACTTGAGTTTTTTTTCGAAATTACAAGGGTTCAGCACTTTTTTCCCAAAAATTGTAGGTTGAATTTAACGTCTTACGAAATTGAGGATTTTTTTGATTCCTCCCTTCATTACATTTTCTCTCTTCACAGAAAGTTGGAGACAGTTTTTTCATCTAACGCTTGCATGTGTGGCTCATTTCTGGACGGGTAATTAACTCTTAATGTAGTGAAAGCTTAACCTGTGAATTTAGTTATGTACGATTTTTAGACACTTTTTAGGCTCCATTTTCGCCGCTCTCTCGTGTCTGGTCTTGCTGAAATCTGTACAGACTTTGTGTCCTAAAAATTCCCGAAAACGGTAGAATACGGTTCGTCAACATTGTTCATCTAATGATATTGAGGGCAAATTGCACTTCATCTTTGATTGTAGTCTCCACAACCGCGCAGCCGGGGTACCCTTTTGTGATGGTAGGGTCACCGTCCTTGCCGGGCTAGACAGTAAAACAGTCCGTATTTTTGCGTATTCAAGTACGCGCGAGCAGTCAAACAAAAGGTCTGGAACGAGGCTGAAAACAGAGAGCGAGACTGGGGAGAGACGCTAGACCCTACGGGCGTGTGAGGATCGCGCGCTGCGCGCGCGCAAGACTCTTACGCCATACTTTACCGATTTCTTTACTGATTTTGAAAAAAAAAACCGACTGTTTTGCAGTCTATTGCCGAGCCATCTTTTCTGCATATAAACACTTTGCTTTGCCAAGGAAGGTCAACTCGCTCAAGGCGAGACAATCAAAGCATGCGCGAGTGCTGTTTTAGACCATGGGAAGCTTAAGGTGGCTCCGTAATTAATACGAGAGCATTTAGCTGTGACAAATTTTCCGTCATAACTTTTTCGATTTTAACGTGATGGCTGCGAAACTTTGCAAAGAACAACAGATATCATTCGGCAGTAATACGAAATATTCCGATTTAAAAGGACCCTACTGTTCAAAGAAAGTCTCTTCTAGTAAAAAATTTTGCTGATATTTTTTACTGAAATTTCTGGTATCGGCTTTAATTGATATAATAAATATGCCAGAGGAATTTCAGAAAAATCGTTGGAGCAGAAGTCCGTAACTAAAAGTGGCTCAAACTTCAGCTGTGAAATTGTTTTGGAATTTCAAAAATAAATTACTATCAGGTAGAAGGAGCCACCAGTTTGAATTTTCGGGACCAGTAAATTCAACGTTTGCTTATTCTTAAAACAAAAGCCGATTGCCTATCGAGCTATTCTTTAAAACGTACTTTTTAGTTTTAGAAGCACTATAAATTGCTCCAAACCTTGCTCTGAAGAATTACTTGTTCTTCGACAGTTTTAAAATATCCCTTGGCAGTTTTGGCTCAAACTCCTGCTGCATACATTTTGATGTATTGCAATGCATTTTCAACGACTTTTACTGCTGTTCGCTGCTTCAACTCAGGAAAAAAGTATTGAGATTGGACGCTACCTCGTATCAGAGCTCAGATAGAACTGTCCAGCACCTTTGTTTATGACTACAAAATGAGCACGAGCGGCAGTTCTGCGAGGAATTCGCACCTCACCCAGGGAGGACGAACGACAATGATGACCACGCCTGTGAACCGAATATCATCACAGTGCAAAATAAAATTATCGCAAAAATACTGCCCGTGAATAAATTTACAACTCTGAAATTTTTGTCACTCCTTCCTTCAATGAATGGGTATTTTTTTCTTGATTATTATGTTTTGCTCTGCAATACATGTGTATACAGATCGGTTCACATACCTGGGCATCATTGTCATTCGTCCCCCCTGGCTGAGGTGCGAATTCCTCGCAGAGCTGCTGCTCGTGCTCATTTTCTGGTCATAAACAAAGGTGCTCGACAGTTCTATCTGAGCTTCGATACAAGGTGGCTTACAATCCCAATACCTTTTTCCTGAATTGGAAACAATGTACAGCAGGAAAAGCCGTTGAGGATGCATTGCAATACATCAAAATGTATGTAGCAGGAGTTTGAACCAAAACTGCCAAGGGATATTTTAAAAATGTCGAGGAACAAGTCATTCGACGTCAGAGCAAGTTTGGAGCAATTTATAGTGCTTCTAAAACTGAAAAGTACCTTTTAAAGAATAGCACGATAGGCAATCGGCTTCTGTTTTCAGAATTAGCAAACACTGAATTTACTTGTCCCGAAAATTCAAACTGGTGTCTCCTTCTTCCTGATAGTAATTTATTTTTGAAATTCCAAAACAATTTCACAGCTGAATTTTGAGGGACTTTTAGTTACGGACTTCTGCTCCAACGATTTTTCTGAAATTCCTCTGGCATATTTATTAAATCAATTAAAGCCGATACCAGAAATTTCAGTAAAAAATGTCAGCAAAATTTTTTACTAGAAGAGACTTTCTTTGAACAGTAGGGTCCTTTTAAGCGCTAATTTCTCAAGAAATATTTACCATCAATGAAATCGGAATATTTCGTATCATTGCCGAATGATATCTGTTGTTCTTTGCAAAGTTTCGCAGCCATCGCGATAAAATCGAAAAAGTTATGACGGAAAATTTGTCACAGCTAAATGCTCTTGTATTAATTACGGAGCCACCTTAAGCAACGACGACGGCGACGGCATCGAGAACAACAAAAAGGCTATAGATTAGATTAGCAAACCAACAACTTTGCATGTCCATCACGCTTTTTTGTACATTTCTTAGTCGACTACGACGTGAAAATGCCTAATTTCACGTTTTGTCGAGGACGGGAATACAAGACAACAACTTTCTTTTTCTTTTCCTGAACTTTGATACAGTCGTTCAGAATTCAACTCCAAAAAAATTTGCCCACATATGACGACTTAAACGAGATAGAATAAGCGCGATAAAGTTTGAGGCAGCGCGGATTCACGTTTTAAGTGACGTTTTCTTAGCCGTCGCCGTAGTTGTTGCTTAATCTCCCTGTAATCAGAGTGTTCGTGAGCAAATTCGTGTTCGTGAGCAAATTCGTGTTCGTGAGCAAATTCGTGTTGGTGAGCAAATTCGTGTTGGTGAGCAAATTCGTGTTCGTGAGCAAATTCGTGTTCGTGTCTCGGGCAAATGGGTCAACTACTTTTTTCTCATGTAACCGCTCTCTTAAGCCAACTCAGCTGGGAGGGTGACTCTTCCTTCGGGGACAGGCTTTCTCCATTTAAACGGGGTCTAAGAATTCAAGGAAACTGGCCTGACTGGTCCGCACCAAGCACTAGAGATAAGTCTTAGCCCGGTTTGCCATCTGTTTGGATGTGAAACTTCCCGTAAGTGTTGAAAGGATTTAGGTTTAGGCTATTGTTGTTTCTTTGTCTAACTTTTCAGACGAAACCATGAACAAACAAGTTCCAAAGTCCATGGAATAAATTTGGCATCGGCAAGAAGATGTTTTAGTATGCTCAACTTTATGCCACATCAATGGGTCGCTAGTAAGGTAATTGCAAATGACCGCCACATTGACATTTCATGGCTGGCCTTCATCTTAGCATGTCAATAAAGAGCTTTAGATTCTAAGACGAGGAGGACTACGAGAACTAGATTTTCCCAATACTATAGTAAGTAGTGCGCGCGTGCGAACCAACGTCATTTTGGCGGGAAAATGTGATAGCCATCGTAGCCATCGTCATTCTACTACGAGTTTTAGCGAGAACGTCGTGGAGGCGAAAACTAGTTATGAAATATTAGGAATTTTATCATTTAGCGATCAGAAAAGGGCTTTACCTCCTTCAACGGAAATAAACGAACTAACTGTTGTGATGAAAAAAGTACAATGGTGCTTTCCAAGGGAAGTAGTGGAAGGGGTGGATGTGCCTTGTCATTCGTCTTCTTCCCTTTCTCTGTGTTTTCCTATTCTTCCATCCTTGCAGTGCTTTCTCTCTCCTTTTCTCCTTCTCTCCCTTTATTCTCTTCTCACGCCACTTCCTTCTTTTCTGCCACAGTGGTTTCATCTTAGGATTTACATGTATCAATTTTTTTTATTGTTTTCTCTTATCTCCCAATACCTTTCTGTTCGTTTATTTTCAGATGTTTAACGCAATAAAGCAAGGTGTCGTTCACTCCCTACAGCAGCCTCCTCCTGATATCGAGGCTCTGAGGGTTTATTTGCTGCTGCCAGAATTTTCCATTTATCAAAAGGAAGAACAGTACGACGCAATTGTTATTCCATTTGGTGAAGCTATCCTGAGATTATCAGTTGATGCAGGCAAAGTGTTAAGTGAGTATGAAATAGAGGATATTACACGGTGGCGCGAAGATATGAATTTTATTTTCGAGTGGCAAAACAATATTTTACGAACGAGCGCAGCGAGTGAGTAAAATATTGTTTTTGCCACGAGAAAATAAAATTCATATCTTCAATCCGCCGTGTAATGTTCTTTTTATTATATAGACAAAAAGACATCGATAAAATAATAGATTTTTATGCGCCAAAAAGTAATTNAGAGGATATTACACGGTGGCGCGAAGATATGAATTTTATTTTCGAGTGGCAAAACAATATTTTACGAACGAGCGCAGCGAGTGAGTAAAATATTGTTTTTGCCACGAGAAAATAAAATTCATATCTTCAATCCGCCGTGTAATGTTCTTTTTATTATATAGACAAAAAGACATCGATAAAATAATAGATTTTTATGCGCCAAAAAGTAATTGTGACGGCTCACATTTACAATACAGCAATATAAGACATTGTTTACAATAATCTGGAGAAATAACACTGAGCTGAATAGGGCTCTACATTGACAAAATATAAGCAAAGCTGAAAAATGTGTAATTAAAATTCAAAGGACGCAAGACGCCTACAAATTTTGGAGGGAAATTACCGAAATTACGTCATCGATAAACTCACGTGTGAGATTATGGAAAATAAACCACTCGGGTCCGGGATGTAGTTTTTATGAATTTTACGAGTGGTATATTTTCCAGTAAAACACTCGTGTCTATATAATAAATATGTTTAATTAAATTACAATCATGGACAAAAGTCTTGGGACAGTTGTACAATTCGAACGCTTTTTAACACACGCGAAATTGTATCCGCGCGCTACTAACACTGTACGTCCCTACCCCCTCCCCCCACCCCACAGACAGTGTTGAAACCGTCAAGGCACAATTCCTTTGATCTTTCAACATTGTATTGGGTGGGGAGGGGGAAGAGGACATGGATTTGTAAAAAGACAGCACTGCTTTTTGCGACAGAACTTGTGAAACGCATAGAATTGAAGTTACGTTCTGACTGTCCCAAGGACTTTTGTCCATGATTGTAGGTTTAAAAAACAGGTACGGAAAAAACGGTCTTTTACACAGAATTCTAATGAACTTTGACATCTTACATAATTGCAACAAAAGTATAGTAAACAACTTTTAGAAAGAAAACAAATTTAAACCGTTTTAACCAAACAGCGTTTAAACATGTTTAAGCTTTGGTGTGAATGGGGCATAAGTGACACCGTCGTTGTTTGACAGCGATTTTTCATAAGTTCTTGAAACGATAGAGAAGTGAATTGTGTCGTCACAAACGCTAAAATTTGTGAAATTATAGGATTGGTTGGCATATTCAGAAAGAAAAACGTGAAAAAAAGTCCTATGCCAAAAATCAGACTGTTAGTGCAAACAGGTGGGAAGATCAGTGTAAGCACCGTCGTGCTCTGATAACACCATACACATCTTTCTAAAATTGGCTTGGATCGTATCAGGCCAATTTTAAAAGGATTTGGATGGAGTCATCGGAGCATAGCAGTGCTTATATTGATCTTCCCACCTGTTTGCACTAACAGGCTGAGTTTTGGCATGGGGACTTCTTCGTCTTGTTGTTTCAGAATATACTGACCAATCCAGTAATTTTACAAATTTTATTTGTGTGACGTAATCACTTCTCGTGTCTATTACGCACGAACAATACAAGAGGCTAACGTAAATATAGCGATTTGATTGGCCGATCGAATGAATGCAAACGCGCGTGCCTTTTGTTTGGTTCAGCGAACTTTTTTTCGATTCTCCATGATATCATTTTGCAATAATATTGAACAATCGAACGATGCTTTGATCATCTATGTATTTTTTTTCAGGACGATGGTGGTCCACATTACCCTCAACATATTTTTCCCACACAATGAAGGTTTGAGTATTTTAAATAATGTGTTTGTGTTGAAGTTAGCATGATATTTCACTGAATGAGAAAGGTTTGGTTTCAACACCCTACAAACAGAGCCTCTTCCTTTTGTCTTTTTGAGTAAGGAGGAGAAAACGAGGCTCTTCCTGAATCGCGTCAAACCTTTCAACTCACCGCAGCTCAAACTTCTGAACTAATCAATCTTTTGTCAAACAGGTTTATTCGAGTGCGAGTACCCGCTATTTGATATAGCGATGGTCACAATCGAGCCCGCAGTAGCAAGTGCTCGGCTATTTAACAATTATTCCTCGAGCCCGAATGGGCTCTGAGTCAATAGCCCATGAGGCCGAAGGCTATTGACTCAGCGGCCATGAGGGCGAGAGGAATAATTGTTTTAGTAAAATCCAGCTAGCTAGTTGGTCAAAAATATGGAGACAAGACAGCTTTAGCTAGCAAAACACGATTCAGCCGCCATTGTTTTGGTCTCCAAAGCCCGCGCTTTTCGCTACTAGTGGGCCATAACATATAGCCTAGTAGTAGCTCAACCAATCAGAACGCAGCATTGATAATAGACCACTAGTTGGATTTTACTTATAGACCTAAACTATATGCTAGGAACATGCCGCGCATACTCAACAAAGGTCTTATTTGATTCATGCAGACTCTTTCTCAAGCATCTTTTTTCTCACCCTGCGAGCAGAGCCTTCCTTTGTCTTCTTGAGTGAGGAGGAGAAAAGGAGGCTCTACCTGAATCACGTCAAACCTTTTGAAGTCGCCACAGGCCAGTCATTTGGACTAGTCAGCCTTGTTTTCTCTCGTCAAACTGTTATTTTTTTTTTCTTGAATGCGAGCATAGGTTTATTGATAAACTGATAGCCATAACCGAGCCTGCTGTAGCAAGCAGACGGCTTTTAGGCCTGGGCTCGAAACTATATCCTAGCAACATGGGACGCATGCTCAACAAAGGTCTTATTTGATTTATGCAGTCTTTCTCAAGCATCTTTTTTCCCACCCTGCGAGCAGAGCCTCCTTTTGTCCTTTTTAATGACGAGGAGAAAAGGAGGGTCGCATCAAACCTTTGAGGTCGCCGCAGCCCGACCCGATCACTGAGTGAGTTTATACTAAGATTCAATATTCATCTGATCAATGCCATTCACTTATCTTTTACATCCAGTTCGCCTCAGATTTATCAAGTTCATCAAAACTATTCTAATCCAGCTACACTGCATTAGTCGATCCGCCAGTTGCCGTATTTTGATTCCATGTGTTACAAAGTCCACCGTTTTTATACCGACCGGTCAATAAACCGTAGTTTTCTGTGTTTTATTTTAGATGTTTCAAGACTGTGTCAAGTACTTACTTCATTTCCCTCCTCCAAAGTTGAAGGATGAGGTAGTTCAGTATTCCTGTTGATTATTATTCTACGATTACCAACATATCACGGTGAACAACTACTGAACACTGCAAAATAGTGGTGTGAACCCATGGGCTTGAACCGACGATAGACTATTCCAAGCCCAAGTTGGTGACTTTGTTTTCAAGATTGAGGGAACGGTCTATTGACACTTATGAGGAAACTAATAGACCTTATTATTCACTCAAAATATTTCCCCGATTCTGATTGGCTAAAAGCACACGCATAATTCACCATAACCAGTTACTGATGACCAAATTTGGAAGAATTTTGTGTTTAACGAGGAAATGGCGTCAAAAATGCAGCGTTCTTGCAGGTTAAGGCACCGTTAACCGAGAAGACTTTGGGCGAGGTTGAGTTGTTTTGGTCGTGAAAACAAAAAATGGCGGACATTTCACTCGTTTCAAGAGTAAGAACTAGGCGAAACAGTAGCTAAAAACATGGCAGGAACAGCAAGAACACAACTCGAAGGGCGACATCTGCTATTTGGAGAACATTTGCGGAGCTGAAAAACCCTAAACGTGCACTATCGAAGGTGAACTTAACATCGATGGAGGTAAGCATGTTTTAGCTTTGTTTTTAAACTAGGAATTATTTTGAATGAATAATAAAACAGTTATTGAATTCGGCTTTCGTATCTTATGAAGAATTATGGAGATCGAGGAGGGTGTTATCCGCGATAACACCCTCCTCTATCTCCATAATTCTTCATAAGATACTCAGCCTCATTCATTAATTGTTAATTTATCACGCGTCATAAAAGGAAATAATTTTTACTTGTCTAGACTATTTTTTGTATAGTTTTGACGATAATTTAACGTTAAGATTAATGTAATGTTTTTAGGCAATACGACGGCAAGCAGGACTGGCAAATTGTTTAGGGGTCTTGGAGCAACTTCATGTGGTAAGTTTAAAACCGATTTGCCTGACGCACGTAGGTAACGTTTGATTATTAAGGTTGGCTTTTCGCTGTACAAGTCCCCGACTGGAGAAAAATATTGATGTCTCCTTCCTATCAATCAGGTCATTTGCCCCAGCCGCATGAATGTCTAGCAACTTGCAGTTATCATTGAAAGGTGTATCTTTATCGTCCTTTGTTATTATTAAGACCCTAAGCACCGGTCTGATTGAGAAGAGAACCTGTAGCCTGAATTTCAGACATTCCTTCCAGTCGCATACTCCTCTCACTCGTCCTCTCACTCGTGAGAGAGTGCGATTCGAGGGTATGTTAGAAATTCAGGCTAGTAGAAATGGCTCCTAGACAATGTTTTTATTCTCCGTCGTGCGGGAAGCCAACAGTAATCAGCCGTCCTTAAGCAAAAAAGCGAATTCGCGTTCTTTTAATCAGTTTCATCGCGATTATTTTAACTCACTTACTTTGTCAAATTGTCGAATTATCCTGGATTTGAATTCCTAAGAACAATATTCCAAGTTCAAAAATGGAAAGAAAGTTTCGTCGTTACTTGCTTGCATCGTCCATAGAAAGTGAAGTTAGATTCTTTTACGTCATAGTCCTGAAGTGACGGCAAAGAAATGTACAAAAAAATTGATTGTTGTTTTGCTAATTATTTTTACTGCCTTTTTTGACATTCTCGTTGCCGCCGTCGTCTTTGGATCTTCTTGTCCCTTAAAGCGATGGCCCGACGGACCTTTTGAAGTGTCATTTTCTTTTTACACTTCCTTAACCAAATACCCTTTTGTAGATTTTTGTGTACTAATTTTTTATTAGTGAATTTTAAAGCAAGCGGGCCATTATAACGAAAGCCACCATGGCCACAGTCATTTCTGTCAAAGCTCAAGAAGTATTTAATTTTTTGAGAGTATTCGTGTCACTGCCTGACTGTGCAGCTGTGCATTTTCTAAAGACTTCAAAAATAGTAGATGATTAAATGCCGATTTTGTACAAATTCTACAGGTTAACACGGAATCGGGTTATATTGTGCCATTCAATCAGTTTTACATCCCTGAGATTCAACAGACTATCGATATCAGAGCCGACTACTTCAACTGGATTCAGAATCAGGTAATTAGAACAACAAAAACAACAATAACAACAAGCTAGAACAACAATAACAACAACAGCAACAATAGAAATGTTATACGAAAGCTACAATGTCATGTTACATTGCTTGCGGCCGGCACGGTGGGTACTTGGGGCAATTTTGCTGGATATGTGCCGCTGGCCTCTTTGAACCCCCACCCCCCAATGGTCCATTGTGTGGCCAGTTATAGAGCCCGTAATTAATTTTTGGGCAAATTCTCTATTTTCCAATTGCCCATAATACACTCTGTTTGCCCCCCAAATTCTGCATAAACCATTGTTTTTAAATGCTCCTGGGAGTATTGCATTTTCCCAAGAGCATTTTAAGACAATAAGTTATGCAAAATTTGGGGGGCAAACAGAGTGTATTATGGGCAATTGGAAAATAGTCAATGTAATTTTTGGCAATCCCAATTTATTCATTTTTTTATCACTTTTGAAAACGCGAATCTTCCCATTTCTAAACCTCCTCTTACCAGGTTTTTTCTCAATCCAAAATCCTTAAAATGTGCGACCTCATTTTAGTAACTCTCTGGAAAATGCAATGCGACGCAATCTTGTATTGACAGAATTTATGAACATGGGCTTCCCGTTCCAATCCACCCAGAGGCTACTTCATATCGAAAACCGTTGGTTGTTCTTCGTTTACTTGATACTGTTACGGGATATCGCACCAGAATGAAATTCTCTCTTCGGTACAGTGACCGTGGTATTTCGCGTTTGGATATGACAATTTCTGTTGGTGGTGTCATGTAAACGAATACAGAGCTACGAGAGGAAACCGCGGTGAAATCTTGTCGGTTTCATTAATTTCTTGCCGGTATCCCGTAAACAGTTTACAAATCTAAGCCTGAGAAAACAGCCGACATTTCGATACGCCTCGACTGGTTTCCCCGCGAAATTACGTCCGAAGAACGACTGCAGAAATTCCATACTGATGTAGTGTAACTACCAAGATCTGGGTAGTACTTCTGATTTGTTAAAGCAGATCTCCCTCGCGTCCCAACCAATCAGAGTACACTACCCAGATCTGGGTTACGTAGTCCATGTCGTCAGTGTGAAATTTCTGCTGTCGTTCCTCAGACGTTATTTCCCAGGAAAATCGCGAAAGGTTGCTTGTTTTCTCAGACTACCAAATCTTAGATGCAGTCCAGAAAAGGCTAATTGAACCTCTAGCAGTTTGCCTGCAGCTTTTTTTTTTTTTTTCACCTGCTTCTCCTTTTGTTTAGATTGTGACAAACCTTCAAGAATTACGGCACCACCTGTATCACGTGGTAGGCCTTTCATTTTCAAAAGCTCGTTCAACCAATTCCATATATAGCAGCATGGAGATCGCCATTGCCACGTGACTTGTAGTCTGCTACACGGCCGTTTTTAGTGTTGTCACGCAACGCTCCTCCCCAGTGGAAAGGAGCATTGCGTGGCGACTCTAAAAACGGCTGTGTAGCAGACTACGTGACTTGCTGCTTATTCAATCACAACGTGAAAGAAATGGGCCACTTCCGAGTTTCCAAACCCCTCACTTTCAAAATGAGGTTAAATGCAAAACCTGTTATGTGAAAATGAGTTTCATTTGTACAACAACTTAATTTCATTTTGGTATCGGAATTTGCACTTACCCTCGGTTTAAAAAAGAGGCTGGGGCAACTCGTAGCTCGCCTATTCAGGCTTGACTGGGATTCAAACCCTTATTAGAGACCTTTAGATTCGGGGACGAGGACGAGGATAGAATTTGACTTGAAAACCCTATACCTTCCATACAGACAAGATTTGACCTGAAAACCCTAATACCTTCCACTCATACATACAAGATTTGACCTCTAAACCCTATACCTTTCATACATACTTCGCATCATTTTTATGGTTTTAGACGTTGTATCTTACGCCAATTTTATATATATATATATTTAGCTCCAGGCGAATATTTTCTCATCTCTGATAAAGCCGTTTAAAAAGTTAAAGGCGTCATGAAAACGGTATTGTTATTTTAAATTTTTTATCGTGCTCTTGAAGGGCAACATGAACAGATTACCGGAAAGCTTTATTGTACTCCTTTTCTTTGCCTGCAAAATTTTCCCGTTTATTTGAATTGGAGGACGTCAAGCCCTCTCCCCATCGCAAAACGATAAAACTTTTAACGTTTGATAACTTGTTCCCGCTACTACCACACTCTTGCTTAAACCCTGTATTCACGTTTTCCCGCCAAAATGACGCTGGTTCACTCGCGCGTATTACTTAGTATTGAGAAAATATCGTTCTCGTCTTTGGATCCAAAGGTCTCTTATAAGTTAATCAAGCCAACCGGAGAGCAGGTCAATCGTGTGTCCATCATATACCCGATGGTGGTGATAAATAGCCTCCGTTGCAGAAGTAGACTACCCATGTTAGTAGCGTCTGCGAAGCGGCGCTGATATCCTTGTTCTGTTCCGCTCACGGACTCAACGTATTTTTGGAGATGCGTTGCATATTTCCCTTTAACCTGATTGGCAAATCGACAATGGATTTTTTCACAGGCCAAGCATGGCGCGGGCTCAAATCCTGTTACACGGGTGGGGGCCCCGAACAAGGGTTTCGGCGCTGTTTCACATACAGACTTAACCAGGCTCCAATTGTTGAAAATGTGGATAACGCCGTCCACTGGATAAATCTCTATCCGGTGGAAAACGAAATTGGTTTCCCTAATGCTTATCTGCTGGATGGTGATTCATCCGGTGGATAGCACCATTCAGCATTTGAACAACTAGTGCCAGAAGTTTAGTTCTGCCTTTGGCGTAGGCTGTTGATAAAAATCTGTGAATATATGGCATGATTCAAATTTTAATTTCGGATGAAACAGATGATTGTAGAAGTAGTTCGTATTCATATCCTTGTGAAGACCGCCTTATGTGCCCTTTTTTTGTTTCATCTGTAGTTCAGTTATGATCTATTTCATATATTCCCGCTCTTTGTGTACCTCGTACATTTATTGTAAACTCTTACACAACTAATAAAAATGTGTGTAAATTTTTTTAAGTAGTGGTATGATCACAAATTTTGTTTACGATGGTGGGATTTTCCTTTACAGCAAACGTTTTCTTTCTGTCGTTACCCATTTGTGTTTGACGCTGAAGCCAAAACTACGTTAATGCAAACCGATGCTGTAATGCAGATGCAAGTAAGTTTAGACAACACTTAGATATATATGTACATGCGTCAATAACTGAGTGTGGCGTCAAGATTGTTAAATTTTGGCGAAGGTTATTGCCCCCTCTCCTCGTTTGAAAAAATAGAATAATATAAAATAAAATCAATTAAAGATTTACTTTAGGGGCATTTTTTTTGGCGGAGACAAGGTGGAAATCCCAGAGCGAGAAGGATACGTCCACCTTGTTTGTTTGAGTGGCCAATCGTAAGACAAGTCTCTTGCTCACGAAGCCAGTGCTAGAATCATCGCGTTTTCCTACTCTTCTTGTTCCTGTGGTACAAAGCCACAAATTTTCAAGGTATCGGAGGCGACTGCCAATAAGCTGCCCCCGCTGATGTTATCAGGGGCATCTCGGCCGGGAAACTGGACTCCTTTCGACTCGATTTCGTTTCCATAAGTGACGAACGCGGATCCGTAATCAATGATTACCTCTAGTATTTAACATAACCATTGCTGCGTACTAACGTTTATTGAAGGTACTGCAAAACCGTGCAGTTGGCTAAGGTAGGCTATCGCTTTCAGACAAATGTGGCTAGCCAAAGCTGCTTGCACTACCGCCATGCTTAGCTATTATTGCAATTTACGATGTGGACGCGAAGCTGTTTGGAAACGTAAGGTGGATTTCCACTGTCGCTTAATTGGTTCGTGCGTAAGCACGTAAAGTGTACGCGCCTAAATGAAGTAGAGGCAATATATGGATGGTTGCGTAAACGAAAAAGTTAAACCTCGCTCTCAACTTTTACGCTTACGCTCGGTCTTGGATGCGTTGCCTCTTGCGTATGCACGTAACAATGATCCACCCTTCATACTCTTAGGTATCTTATTTCGGTTGGTATATTCATCGTTCTCTTCTTTCTGTTTTTCAGTCAGCTGTTGAGGAGGTGAACCGCCGAAATGTTCAATCAATGGTATCGCAAATGCCTATTGACCCTGTTAATCCAATATTGGTTATCGTGGTCAAGAGAGAGAATATTGTCGACCACACCCTAAATCAGATTATGAAGTGTGGACCGTACGATTTGAAGAAACCTCTTAAGGTAATAGGTAGTTTTAGCAGCTTCGAGGGACAAATGAGAAACTTAAGCGAAAACTCGACAGGAAGGTTTTGAATTCTTTAAATCTGCGCACACTGACCGAACGTCACTCTCGGTAAGCATGGTTCTCTAAAAAAGGCCGATGATCGTGAGGACAGTGTTTATATGTTACCTTGGCAACTTCGAAGATGCGGGTTACAATGAGTCGGTGATGTGGCATAATTTCTGCATTAAGTGGGTCACGTCGCTGCGAGCTGCAGACGGTGTTTTAAAGGGCTATGGCTGTTTTAGATCAATTCTGTGCTAAAGTCATTACTTAGTGTCTTTTCCCATTCACAAAATGCTAAGAAGATGTCAAACAATAATCAGGGAGCACTGAGTCTGGTGATCATTTTGTTAATTCTCGTAACCATTTCTCTTGATTATGTATTGATTCAGTAAGGAGAAAATTGATGGCAGACACTCCTAGGACTTCATTACTTAGTGCCTTTAACCCATACACAAAATGGACCTGTAGAATTATGAAGAAGATATAAAACAAATTTCATTAGGGAGCACTAATCATGATAAGTTTTTGGTGATTTTTGCAAGTTCTAAACCTTAAAACATGAAAACGTTTGCCCAACATTTTCAACTTCCAATCCATGTCGTCCATGGTTGCCATTCGTTGTAACAAACGACAGGAAACGTTTCAATGCTTGAATATGTAGTTTGAAATAACAAAAGCGGACCTTTTGGAAATTAACGGATGAAAAAAGGTTACGAATTATTTCATCTCAGAAAGGACTCGTTGAAATAGATAACATCAACTAAATCCGTACAGAAATCGAGTGTTAAGTACTGAAATTTGTATAGCTTTGTACTTCCAGGGTCAATAATTGACTTAGCTAACTAGCAAAGGTTTTATAAGCTACAGTAGTAACAACGGTTTTTACCCTGTTGAACCTTTTCAGTCTGAAGTCTTTGTACTCGTCCAATATAACTGAGAAAAAAATACTACTACTTCTAATAAAATTTCAGCTTCTTACCGTAAATCAGTCACAGGTTCTTGTATGCTGCTTAGTACTGTATTCTAAAACGGGACCTTTTTGGCAGGTTGTGTTTGTCGGCGAAGAGGGTATAGATGTTGGCGGTGTAAGGAAGGTAATATATATAATATTCAAGTGAATGGCTCGTCACGTAGGGGAAGGAACGCGTGACCAAGACCTAAGAACTTCTACGTGGGAGGCTACAAAGCCGTTGGAGACTATAAGCAGTAATTAAAGACCTATATTCAATTCCAAAACACTTACTTTAAGATAATGAATTGTTTTGCAGTAGGTTGTCAAGCCAGGAGCTGTAGGTCAATGTTGCTGTTCTATGCTACCTTGCTTATCCAAACGTAACAGGTTTCCTTGTGTAGGCTTTATGAAGGTTGTGCTCTAGCAGTGCCCAGTAACCCCTGCCCCCTGCCCCCTGCCCCCTTAATTTTGCTCTTGAGCATTATACGATTCTGGGAAACTGCCCAGCTATCCCTCCCTCAAGCCAACATTTTGCCTTAAGGACGTTCGCGCTAATTGTTTCTGCGCATCCCTACTGCACACGTAATTCATAGCGCAATATCACGCCACGTCATGCATCGAGTGCGCGCGCTGAGAAAACTGTCTAAGCACATATAGGGTTGGTAGCCGTTGCGTTAACTTCGCTTGCAATTTACTTTCTTAAATGCGCGGTGACCCCCCAGTTTTTTTCGGTAGACCACTTTCTCTTCCACTTTCCAATAGATTGTGAAAAATTGAACAAAAAATCAATGTGGAAAGGTAAAAAATTTCCAATTTTTCTGTGTACGCGGCGTCAAATTTTGGCATTCGTGCGGCTGTTTGGAGAGTAGAAATGCGTCCACTAAATGATAAAATCAACTCTGAGGAAGTTTTTTAGTTCAACGAATTTTGTTTAAGGATCCAGAAGAACAATAATTGGCGAATAAAATTTCAATTCAGGGATTTATTTATATACTTTTTGCACAAACAGGCACTTTATCCGTATGCAGTAACGAAGCCCGATTTCTCAGATTTTGGGTGATCTTTTGAACATCATAGCTCCGAAACGAATTCGGTGACCCCCCCAATTTTTTTACATTTTTGACATGAGTAACCCATAATCTCAAACTGGTGAAAGTTTCAGAAAAAAATCAATGTTAAAAGATTTTCGCGCGAACGTCTTTAAGTGAGAAGTAAGTGTTAATGTTTGTTTAGGGGAGGAGTAGGTGGGCAGTTACCCAGAAACGTATAATGATCCGAAAATCTTAGTTACTTCATACAATTCCTATGCTGTGCTCATGGGCTCCCTTTAATTTTTCTTAGAGCTCAGCCTTGTATATGTCGCAATTATGTTTTTATTTCAGTTAATTTTTGTTTTTCCTTTGTCTGAAATTTATTAGCATACATGTACATTACCATACCCAAAAACAATGGAAAAATAAAAAAATAACTGAACTAAAAATTAACTACAACATATACATACAGCCTGTTTTTTTTTTTGTTTGTTTGTTTTTTTAACTGTTATTTTCTCTTTGTAAGACTTCGAATTAATTGGAGTGTTTTTATTCAATGATTTAGGAATTCTTTCTACTGCTTCTGACTGAGATTTTGGACCCCAAATATGGCATGTTTACATTTATTGAAGAATCAAACACCATCTGGTTCAATGACTTGGTAAGAAACAGAATTTGTATTAACATATTTATTTCTCAAGAAAATCTAAAACCAAAGTCGGGAAAAAAAATTAAATACTAATAAGATTTCATGTGAGTTAGCTCATTTCCAGTAGGGTTTAGTCATCCCAACCTTATAAAGTATCAGTACCATGTTAGAATGTGTAGGAAATTATAGCCTGCGAGCAAGCTCTCCGGGGTGCTCTGGCGGCAGGGCGCGAAAAGGAAGGAGAGCTTGCAACTACGTCTCTGGAATTTGAATTCCACCTCCAATTCCCCTGTGGCTACCGGTCGACTGAGCTGTCAGATTTCCGGCAACCAGTGCGAAGCGGAAACGAGGGCGAATGTAAACAAACGTTGAAAAACCCGTGCCAGTGGTAATGGCATCATTACTTATGTCATCTCCGCCAATCAACATTTCGCATCGACTTTATCGATGCAGAAATTCAAATTCCAGAGACGTAGTTGCAAGCTCTCCTTCCTTTTCCCGCCCCGCCGCCAGATCGCCCAGGAGAGCTTGCTTGTAGGCTAAGGAAATTAATGCTCAATTGCTTTGAAAGAGTGGTCTTTCAGTAGGTTTTCACCTGGAGACTAAAAAAATAAGAAACACTGTGTACGGTATAATCGACAGTACCACTGAAATGTAGTGCTCAGTAGCTTTCAAACATACATACTCAAACGTTTCAGCATATTGATAGTCAGTACTCAGTAAAGAAAGTGCTTCTCGGTCTCTGATTATTCCGTAGTTAAAGTATGAAGGAATATAAGTCAACAATCATGTTTTGTTTTCTTGCAGACATTTGAAGAAAATCCAATGTTCTTATTGATTGGTGTTATTTGCGGTCTTGCCATCTACAACTCTACCATTATCGATCTGAGGTTTCCGCCTGTTCTATACAAAAAGCTTTTGCGAAGGTAATTTCAGTACTTATACAGCCATGTACTCTGAAGCTTGTGGTAGGGTATTGTAAATGAAGTCAAACTTTCTTTAGAAAGTCACCAATGGTACAGAGCTTTGGGTTCCAAAGATACCCAAACATGGAGGGTTGATCGTACTTCAAGAACGAGCACAAACAATCGCGGGATATCAGTGGATTGACAGCTTGATTGACAGCTTTGTTCTAGCAAAATAAACTAAATCTACCTGACGCACCCTCTCTTTGCTCGGCCGAGGAACACTTTGGGAATCCCAGCGGTGCCAACAGCCGACCTTCGCTTTTGAATTTATCGCGCGCCGTCATTTCTAATTTTCTGCGGTCATTTTCATGGTAGGCGTCATAATTGCGTACTTCTTAGAAAAAAGAAAACATCGTTTTTTTTTACAAGAATCGCTTGCCGAATGACTCCACGCTCGTCATTCTTGGACTCTGTGAATAATTCAGGCAATTTTGTTTTGCTTTCCTTTGTTGTGTTGTGTTTGTTTCTCACAGAAAGCCAAACCTGGATGACTTCAGAGGGTTTAAACCTTCAATTGCTAAGTATGCATTTTTTAATTTTAAATTTTATAATTATGTCGAAAAATCAGTGGCCATGTCGCATTAGTCCATTGTCTTGCACAACCCGCCAAAACTTGACATCAGATGCATCATTCCTTTTCGCGTTTTTGCATTGCTCCTCGGCCTTTGATTATCAGAAGAAATACTCCGTTTTATGTTTGGTATATTACTTTTTTGTGTTGGAATATTAGATGGCAAACCGGTCGTGTTAATATATTACCTGTCGATGTTTGGATATAAGTTGAAACAATCCTGGTGCTGATAGACAATGTCTCAGTGGTGGAACCAGACCCAACACTCCCCTCGTGTATCGTGTATGTCATGTCTCTGTATTGGGATATTAGAGGAGGCACTCCCTTTTATGTTTAACATGTTTCTTGTCAGTGTTGTGATATCACATACCGAAAACACTTATTACTTCTTGGTGTTAGATATCAGAGGAAACACCCTTCTCGTCACTGATTTTTAATTTCACGGCCTCGGATGAAAGATGGAATAGTCTTTTTTGTTTATGTTTGGTAAGAGTCATGTAAATAGACACACGTTCTGCAAAGAAAACGTTTAAGCCGAAGCTACGAATCGAAAACGCCTCGGTGTATAATAATTGAGAACACACACCTCCTTTTTATTTTTCTTGGCTATTCCATTACACTCAACAGAAATCTCCAATATTTGCTGGATTATCCTGACGAAGATGATATTGTTGACGCATTTGGTCTCAATTTTCAGGTAAGCTTCGTTGTCAATTTTTCGTAATCTTTTTCCTCGTAGAGTAAGTGCGATCGTCAACACGGAATAAACTTCTTTTTTTTTCTTTTTCTGGTACAGAGGTGTTTGGACAAGCCATGATTTTTTAATGTGTGAGACATTCAAAAAGTGTCTAGTGTGCTTCAAGTTCCAAACATGCCCAGCTATTTTCGTGACATTTTTTGTAGATTAGGTGGTTCCACCTATATTGTAGCAACTAAGAGAGTTCCTTCACTGATTGATTGGAATAGAGACTCGCCAACTAACTGTCCTTGGGTACGTTTGTCTTCAGATTGTCCGTGAAAGATACGGGGCACTGGAATATGTTGATTTGATTCCTGATGGAGGAAACACACCAGTTAATGCTGAAAACAGGTATGTGATTGACGATAAGCGTGACGAAACAATACCTGTTAAAGGTTTAAGGGTTAAAGATTTGTTTATATAGTCGGAAGTGCACTTAGCTTGTCCTGTTAGTTTACAGGCACACCATTTAGATAATAAGAAACAAACAATCCAAATATGACAGGATTAAAAATCACATCTGGAAGGAGTCAACCAGTAAGCTATTTACACACTTGGTCGAGGATCTGAACTCGAGACGACCGAGAACATGAATTCAGAATGTGATAACAGCGGGAATCGAACCCGGGACCTCCGGATCGCGAGACCGACGCGCTGGTCACTCGGCCATGCTGCCTCCCTGTCTTATTCGTTTTCTCACCACAGACCCGTTTCGAGTCCAAAGTCTCGGGAACTTTATTTTACTGGCCCGAAAACCTAAAGAACAAAAGCGTGGTTCCCATATTTAACATAATCAGTTTTTTGTTTTGTATGCTGATGGTTCAATCATGATATTATCTGCGAAACTATTGAAACCGCGATCTTGAATGTAAACGACAACAGCTTTTCAGACCCGATGATAATAGGCCATTTGAACGATAATGTCATTTTACAACTATGAGAAGATGACAGAATCCTTAGGGGGTTTGCTTTCTTGTTTAAGTTAGGGCTTTTGTGATTACAAATGTAAAGCTCGCTGGGATTACCAAATTTAAATATGAAAGGAAAAACGAAAAGGATTGTGGTCGTAGTAGTGAAATGACACCAACATGCAAATGGCCTATTATTGGGAAACAGGCCCCAGGAAACCACTGTAAAAAAAGGAATCACTTCAAAAGACGACTGGAAATGACTGTCCGCATAAGCGCCGAGATGAATAGAATTGTTGGTGAAAATGATGTGCGCTTCGACAACCTGTGCGGAATTTATTACTTGACCAATGTTTTCACATTATATTTTTTGCGTCAATGTTTTTCCATCCGTCCTGCTACCTTAACAATAGAGTAAAACACTCGAATAGGAACATCCATATCATCAGCGTTAAAAGTAACTCATGGCGTCCCACAGGGATCTATTCTCGGGCCCTTGTTATTTAGTTTTTACATGACACTTTTAGGATCAAATCTATTTACTTCATCTTGATAATTTTTCTTAGCTTTTAAGAGTCCTGATAATCCTGATAATTGTAAATTAACATTGAAAATCCCAGTTTGGGACTTGTTTTAAATAAACTTATTGTATTGTATTGTATTGACTCCCCTCTGGGTTTCCCTCGGGACTACAATCAATCACACTCGAACTACTTATGTACCTTTCCCCTGTCGAGTGATTGAAACATTTTGACTCATCCGCCAGTTGTGTCTCTTACTTGCTTCTAGACAGCAGTATGTCGATGTATATATTGATTACTACTTAAACAAGTCAGTGGACAAGCAGTTCCATGCTTTTTCGATGGGTTTTCACCGAGTTTGTGGTGGTAAAGTCCTGGTATGTTGATGATAATTTTGTCTGTATAACATTGATATGCTCGATGAGTTTGTGGTGGTAAAGTCATGGTATGTTGAGGATAATTTTGTCTGTATAACATTGATATGCTCGATGATAAACAATGTTGTTATCACCCGGCTTATCCCTTTAAGCCGCAACATTCTCTAAACTGATCTCCATACATTTTCTTGAAGAATTACCTAAGAGAATTTGATAAAAGATTACAGCATCATTTCATTATTTCATTTTATTGATTATCATAATCTTTTCTCTCTATATGGATACTGACGGGGGAGAATTGTTTCTAGTCCAAACGGTTGTATTACGATACCGCAAAGAGCTGAGTCTGGACATGTCTTGTCAAACAGGCAACAGTCTTGGACAGAATTTAGTTTTTGCCATGTCACATAACAACTCTAGATAGGCCATTTTAACGCCTAATTTAACTATAGTACATTCTCGTGTCTTCTTGTCATCGATTACTAGGTTCGTTTGAAACGAGCACTTGAAAAACTCTTTTCCAAATTTATGCTGGAATCAGTGGCCCCAAAAAGGAGAAGCTGAATGTTTTCGAAAGCTATTAATTATATTCTACAAATCGAAGTGTCGTATGTTTTTGTTCTAAATCATTTTAGTGTTTAATGGAGTGGTGTTTGGTTTTTCTTTATTCTAAACATGACAGGAATTCTTTCATCCTGAAGAGTTGATGCAGATGGTAGTAGGATGTCAAGAATATGATTTCAAGGAACTTGAGAAGGTAACAGGTGTTATTGTGGTGTAACGATACCGTAGGTGCTCGTGAGCAGTTAGGCTACGGTATGCTCACATTGTACCAGATATCTCTGCGCCGACACGAAAACCATTTGGTACAAGGCTTTTGTTCACACATACGGTCGGTGATTTTGGTGCGAATTTCTGTAACGGAGCGAACCTGCGCCGCTCCGATCGTGAATAAAAAAATAAAAAAAATAAGCGGTGCCAACTTTCCTCACTTGCAGCCAATTGCTGAATTGCGGAGGAACAAGAGAGGTGAGATCGGACGTCAGCAGGTACAGGCTCGCTCTTGCAGCCACGTCAGTCCATGTGTTAATCACACCTCGCCCACCCAGACCGATGTCGGCACAAGTCAGATAGACCATGACATCGGGGCCTACGTCCCCTACTCATTTCGAACAATGTACTCATTTCGAACAATGTCACGGGTTCTTTTACGTCCTCTTCCAACTGAAGGGGATCGTCACATATCAAACAGGTTTCTGCAACCCGTAGTCGCAGTGTGAACAGGTATTCGAACCGTAGCGGAAGTAAATGCGTAGGACCCACTGAGACAGAATTAAATATTCAGAAGTGTGGATTGGGATCTAGTACTAGTGCTAAGTTCGATGTGTGGGAGAGACTTGCTTTAGTTCTGCGCCGTTGCCTTTCATACTCTGGGTTCGCCAGTCTTGAAAAGTCCTTGAATTTTAGGGGAAATCCTTGAATTCCATTTTTCCTTGAAAAGTCCTTGAATTTTTCTTCAACTTTGAATGTAGTGGCCTGAAAAAGATTTTTGATGTTTTTTGGTTGTCCAAGACAGAATAAAAATCATAGCTCAGAGAATTTAAAGGTTATCTACATAAAGTGCTCTATGTTTTATGCAATAGTTAACTATCAATTTAAGACAAGTGAACTGAAAAATGTAGAGGAGTTGGTGAAGCAAACAGTTCAAGCCTTAAAGTCTTATTAGAATAGACTGGGAATGTGCATTTTCGTATAACCCTGATACTGTGCTAGATAGCTTTTCATGTCTTCACAAAAAGCTGTTCGGTATAGTATCGAAATAGCCTTACATAGAACGAAAGGGTGATAGAGGACTAGAAAAGGATCCTAACGAACCACAACCAGAGGAGCACCCATAAAGTGAAATCTGCGTCCATTTGAATTTCTTTCAGCTGTTGCTTCATGGTTGAATAGTAGGCCCAGTTGACTTTCTTTTCTCCTGAACCTGTTTTGCAGGTGGCTGAGTACAAGGGAGAATACTACCGCTATCATCCTGTCATCAGAAACTTCTGGGAAGTGTTCTTTGAATTTCCTGTTGACATGAAGAAAAAATTTCTTGGTAGGTTTAATGTACGATCATCATAATCATCATCATCAGCATCAGCAGCACCAGCACCAGCACCAGCATCATCACCAACACCAACACCACAACCACCACCACCATCATCATCCCCCTCCTCATCATCATCATCATTATCAACATCAGCCTCATAACTTTATTCAGTCGATAAGAGACATTCATGTATCAAAAGTTTAATACGTCATCAATTATCAATTTCAGATCTGGTGAATAATACAAAATTAAGATGGTAAATGAAAAAAGGTTGCAAATTAAATTGAATCACATTATAAGTTATAAAAAAAAAGCATAGCCTATATATTTGATGTTACAGTTAAAATATCGCAAGACCCAAGCATCAGCTACATTTCTTCTATCGTAGTATATGCTTGTGACATATAAATTAGCCTCCTTATTTGCTAACTTATCCTCCAATGTTTGGCATATAGTCTGATAAGTAGAAAATGGCCGTGAAAATTACCTACTCGCAAGGCCTTTTAACCACTAACAACTTAGCGTCTGTTTGCATTTACAGCGTTTTTAACCGGCAGCGATAGAGTGCCAATCGTAGGAATGAAATCTATGAAGGTAATGTTGTCTTCACGGAAGTGTACTTGGAGGATTTTTTTTTAGATTCAGTTTTTGGTGTTGTTCAGTCCAAGACTTTTGGGGGCTTAAGCAACAACGACGGCGATGGCTCCGAAAACGTCACTCAAAAAGTGAAGTCGCGCCGCTTCAAACTTTATCGCGCTTATTCCATGTCGCTTAATTTGTCATATGTGGGCAATAGACCTTTTTACCGATACGGCGGCCATATTGAATTAATTCGATTTAAGGAGTATTATGGGATGCTGAGGGGGCATGAGCACATTTCGTTTGTATTTTCGAGCGCTTTTAGGGACATTTTTTCTTACAGTTTTCTTTAAGTTAATTCAATATGGCCGCCGTATCGGTAAAAAGGTCTATTGGTTGATTTCTGAAGGACTGTATCAAAGTTTGGGAAAAGAAAAGAAAAGTTGCTGTCTTGTGTTCCCTTCCTCGATAAAACGTGAAAATAGGCACTTTTACGTTGTAGTCGTGCAACGACGGCTAAGAAATGTACAAAAAGCGTGATGCACGTGCAAAGTTGTTGTTTTGCTAATCTACCCTATTGCCTTTTTGCTGTTCCCGTTGCCGTCGCCGTCGTCGTTGCTTAACCTCCCTTTTTTCACTCCCAGAACCAATCATGGAGACAGGTTGCGTTTCTCTGCTTCTCAAGGGTAGCATTGAAAGCTGTCTTGTCGCATGGGCCCTTCAAAGGAAAAAAAACATACCGTGCATGATGTTAGGCTTATAGAAACTGGTTAAAGCACTTTGTCTTGTGTGTGTTAACACTTACAAGTACGAAGTAACGTCTTAGTAACTTGAAGATGTGCTTTGCGTTTCTCTCACAAAAAATATCGTATTATCCACTCCCCTCGGAGCTTTCCAGCGATAGTTTACAACTTTGGTTGGGGCGGGGACTTTTGCCAGACTGCTTATGGCGCATATTACAAATACTTAAGTATGAGAAATGATGCCCCCTATGTGAGTTTGAGTTTGAGATAAAACACCACAAGGGGGACTACGTTCCCTAGTCTTTACGAACAGTGTGTAAGTTCTTTAACGTTCCACAGAATTTATGTGTGCAAGGTTTGTGAGACGGGGCCTACTGTTTATCGTCCTTATCCGATAAAGTTAAATTAGGCAATACAGTGGTGTGCCTCTGCCCCGTGATCAAAAACGTTTTTCACATATATTGCAAGGTAGCAGGGGTCACAATCTTATCCCTTCAGTCAATCCCTCCAACATTTATTTGCGATGTGTTTCCTCACAGATCATAATACAACCAGTTGCTGGTGGCATGTACGGCGATCACCTCCCAGTAGCTCACACCTGCTTCAATCTACTGGATTTACCGAGATATCCCTCCACAGAAATGATGAGAACCAAGCTGAGCCAAGCTGTGGAGTACTCAACAGGCTTTGGGCTTGCTTAATTTTCTTATCTCGCAATATCAATTTTGTAGCCCATGACTCAAGCCCATGGAAAGAAGATGAAAAGAAAGAAGTGAAAAATGACATGAAAGTAAAGAAGCTGTTGAAATTTTTTTGTGGGATGATATCCTTATTCCGCATCATGTTGCTGACTGTTTTTTCATAGCAAAACCAGATGCTTTCCCATGGTTAGGCACGTCACATTTGACATTGAAGGTTTTTCTTCTATCCGTGCAGCGTGTATTTGCTCAACCGTAATGTCTTGAATAGAATGGCATGATGAACTGGAAGGGATGTGAAGAATGTTATAAAACATGTCACACAAGAGAGAAAAGAAAAGCTGTAGCTCCTCTACTCTGATGAGAAAAAAATATGACAGAATTTGAGGCTTGGTAAAGAAACCTTCTTTCCCTGCCTATTGAGCTTCAAAGTAACAACAAAAACAACATTAACAAATACCATCTTAAACTGTACTCTTAGGAAGAATGGTGGCGTGGATCGAGAACTAGAAATAGATTGTTTAGACTTTTTTTACTAACAAAGAGGGCCAACACCACTGACCTCATTTCTGATGTTGTAAGACGTTGGCCTTCTTGAACGTTAGAGAAGAGCCGCTGTGTCATTGAACTGTAAATATTACCATGCAAAACCTTATTTTCTACCCAAGCATCAAGATTTTCTCCATAGGGGTGAGCCTTTCTTGCACCCTGGTGGCATGACAAGGACGACATGCAGACGCTCAGAGCATGTGTCTGGAAGTGTCTCTGCTTTCAGCCGAAAATAATATAACGTTTTTTTCTCTGGGAAGACCAAAAAGGATACATTTGTAATTATTGAGTGACACCTTATCTCTGCTTTGAGCAGGAGGTATGAAAATGTATAAAATAAATGGGAATTTTTCAGAATATATCCCTACAAACCATAGTTTATAGAAGAGCCTGGTTTTGAAAGCTGGCAAACATCAAAGTTGAAAACAACGGTGCTGTAGTTTATGGTGGAAGTTCCCTGACCGTGAACAATCTTCTCAAAGTTCTTTGTTCACAAATTGTGACTGAATAAATTAATGCGATGTTTCTATTAGTAGTCAGTAAGTTCAAAATGATAGGAATGCTATTGAACGTTGTGCACGGTAAAGTCCAAAAAAGCTAACAAAAACATTTTACAAAGGGCCGGAGTCTAACGGATTTCATAACCATTCCACTTCAATAAGTATGTGTAGGCTTCTTGTTGAAAGTTTTACCTCTGTTGTTTTTCACTCTGCCAAAACGAAGCAACCATAATCTCTACGGGGGCAATAAAAAAAGCGGATCAGTCTAGGTTTCTTGGAAACTGCTCACCTACCCCTCCCCTAAGCTAACATTAACACTTACTTCTCACTTAAAGCAAAATGATGGCTTAGGGAAGGGGCAGGTGGGCAGTTTCCCAGAAACCTTGACCTTTCTCAGCACAGTTTGTTAACTATTTGGCAAACAATTTTAGAGGCGTTTTACATATAACACGTTGATTGCAATTATAACGTTAACAATCTTTACTTTTTTGATCGAAAAACGATTGATAAAGATACCACGAGAGTCAAATGGTTCTAAACGTTGGGGAAATAAGTCGTACAAAAAATACGTTAAAACAGCTGAAGGTTTTTTTGACTTCCATCTCTTTGAGAGGAGCGAACATAGTTTTATCAAAGTTGTAATCATCCCCCAAGCAAACGTAACGTACACGAAATAGGGATTCAAAAAATAAAAATATAGAGTGATTGTGTGGTTTCTTGTGCATGCATTGCTGCCATAATTGCAGTTCAGCGACAAGTATCAACTCTTTTTTGTCCTGAGCTGTAAGATCTTAATGCCATTTCACAGCGGTATATTTTTGTTACTTTAGAGTAAAATAAATTTGCATTTCCTACTGAAGCGTTTGTCTTAGTAATGGCTCTCAGACTATTAATACGTATACGACGCTTTCTTGACACCGGCTCACGACAATCCTGCTCATTGCGGAGAGAACAACAACAGAACTAAAACTCGACGAAAAAGCGCTGAAACTACCAAATAAGCTAAGAGCACACCATGAATAAACAAAGAGACGAGGTATTTCCCTAAATAACGATCGCTAAAACCCCCTTACAAACCTAAATAATATTTCTGTTACGTATCAACTACCACGCGTGAGCTCGGGGTACCTATGGCTCAATGGCCCTTTCCGTCATGCTGAAGATATTGCTCAAGCAAGGGAGACATAATGCTGATTGGTCGATTGTCGTGGTGATGACTTGTAATACTCTACTTACATCTCAAATACTACCGGTTGCTATGACAACACAAAGTAACAAGCCATTTCTTCCAGGGACAAACTGTTGCTATGCTTTCCCTGGCGCCAAAATATTTTACAGTATGTATATATTTTAAAGTCGGTTCCTATTGTGATCTTGACGTAATCGTTTTATGCTGCCAACAATATAGCCTGCGTAGCAAGCGTTTCCATTCGAGTTATAGCTCGAAAGTTTTTCCAAAATCAAATAATAGTTTTAATAATGATAATAAAAATCCGAGCCAAGCGAAGGTCTAGCCGTTTGCAGGGCAAAGGCAGTACCTTCATTTCTCAGTTATTTTTAATAAGACACTGAGAATTGATCCGACCCTTTTGGGATCGAACCCGCCTTCTTCCTCCGTGCAGTTTAGCGCTCTTAGCCTACCGCGATTATTACGTCGTTCTGGTGTCCTTAATGGGTAAAAAAAAACATTTAGTATCCTAAGGCAAAGTAAAAACACCTTGTGATGAGCATTTGAAAGTTTTTAAAGAAGGTCATTTCTTCCTTTTTTGCGGCTAGAAATCCTGAACAAAGCTGATTGATCAATTGTCGTGGTAACGAATACCGTACTTGCGTCACAAATATAAGTTGTTGCCATGACAGAAAACTAGTTACTATAGCAACACTATGGTAAGCCTTTTCTTCCAACGACAAACACATCTGTTGCTATGCTCACCGTGACGAAAAAGTATCCCACTTCGTGCCTTTGCCATGGTGATTTTAATGGCGTTTACATTTTCTAAGCGTTCCTATGGTGAATTTGACATAATACATTTAGGGTATTTTCACAGATACTAGCGATTTGTTGCTATAAACAACGCGCCAAAAGGGGATTTATACCTCAGTTTACCTCATGATGAAAGGACAGTTCCTTCTCGGTGTTAGCTCGATAAAACCAGGTACCATGAACTCCTTTGCTCAGCGACAACGGAGAAAAATTCTTCCTCGCCTGTTGTTTAAACAACAAAGTTCCAAGAAATGTAACTCCCTCAACAATGATGTGAATGAAAGGAAAGACCCAGAAAACAAACCATCAGTTGAAATGACGAAATATCAAAATATGCCGCGCTTTAGCAAGAGCAAATGCGACAACTATCTCAAAGAAACGAAAAAGGAGTCCTACAGCTGAGGAAATGGCCATTCGAAGGCAGAACCTTGAACGCATCTTTGATCAGCGACGACTTGCTATTAGCGAAGAAATTGAAAAAACTTGGTTTCTTAAAGGAGCATCGCTGGAAGTACATCGACATAATTTGAAATGTACTTATGAACTCCGCAAACGCGGTCTTAGTTTCTCACCATTAAATAATGTATGCGTATAACCATCTTTTTTGGCACACATTTATCCAGATATCACAAGCCGAAAGATGGACAAAACCGGGATAGGGCATACAATTTGGACTCAATGGTTTCTCAACGACTCAAAAATATGTAAGGTGTAAATTTTGATTTTCATCAGTTTTTTTTTCTTTTTTGGAGAATATAATGAACACTTTTTGAAACACTACTTAAGATATTATGTTATGTAATAGTAATTTTGTTTGTATGTATATGTAAAGTTCATACAAAAACTATAATTTATTTATTATTTGGTAGATCGCGCTTTACAACGAATGCTTAAGCCACAGTTGTGTCAAATTGGGAAATCGTGCTTTTGTGTCCAGCTTTGCGGAAAGAATAGAAGACAGCACTCTGTGATTTTATTAATGAATCATCGGTCAAAACCTTTCGTGTGTTATGTATCGAGAAGTTTTTGCAGTTTAAAGTTTACCAGCAAGGTATAATCTTTGAAATGAGCAAAATCTGTCATCCCTGAAATTAACGCCTTATCTCTTTTTGTGAAAGCGCTTTTTAAAGATTCCGTTAAACGCAATAAAGGACTTTACCGTTCTGCAGTGGCCGCAGCTCGTGAAGTTTTTTATCTGTGCTGAATTCTTGGACAAAAAATTATCCGAAGGGAGTGCAGCTAAATGTCTTGGGGAGTGGGGAGTGGGGAGTGGTCGTGGGTCGTGGGTGTGGGTCGATCGCGCGTTGGTGTGGGTAAATGTCGTGGGTAAAAAAAAGTATAGAAAAAATGATAAAGTGAAGTAATTGAAAAAAACAATAAATAAAATTTAAAAAAGGTGCACAACATTTATGAAACGAAAATCTCCGACTCCTTGATTGCCCTTTTCACGGTTCCCTCTTCGTCCTCTTCCTGATTTCTCCTTAGCCACGTGGGACTTGGGACTTTCACAACATCACTGATGTTGTTGATGAAGATTTCTCCATACCTAAGCGATCGCCGCAGTATGGGACAGCTCTGACTCGCCAGAATGGAAATAGCAACTTACTATATTATATATATATTCAGCGGAGATTTTATCACGTTGAAATGCGATCACCATGGGAAAAGGGAAGGGAAAAAAATGGACAATTTGAGCTATTTCATATTGTTGGATGGACGTCTTTCTTAAAGAAGTTTTAGCTCTATAAGCACGACCTCTACCCACTGCTTAACTGGCTACATTGACAAATTCTCGAAAGGTTGAGCACGTACGTAAAAGGCAAGTTTGTCAGTTATTTTTCTCGGTTCATTGTATGTTAGACAAAACGACTTCTCCTTTAAGGCCCCTCCCTTTTACTTTTCTATTACGTTGTCAACAGGGTGAGTGTTGCTATGGTTATTCTGGCACCCATGGAGTAGTTAAGAACAACGCTTCTTCAGTCCAATTATAACACATAACAGCTAATGGGGATTGGTTGCTGTAATCAACGCCCAAAACAGGCACCTCCCTTTCACTTTCCTATTTAAACTGACAGTTTCGTCCTGTGATGGCTCGATAAAAGTGGAGATCATGAGCTTTTTCGCACGGAGACAACAACGAAAAATTCATCCTTGCTTGTTATTCAAACGGAAAAGTTCAAGTAATGATGACCTTCATAGGCGACTGAACACTAACAGTGATGTGAGTGAAAATCAAAACCTAGATGACAATCCGCGAGAAGAAATAAATGAGAGTAACTTGATATTGCTTGATCATGAGCACATCAAAGAAAGCAGAGCTTTGGCGAGAGCAAATGCGGCAGCCATCTTAAAAAATCGAAATAAAGCTTCTACACCTGAAGAAATGCCAATCGAAGGCAGAACATTGAACACGCCTTTAATCAGCGGCGAGATGCTGTTCGCGAAGAAATTGAAAGAACTTGGTTTGTTGAAGGAGCATCGCTGCAAATACATCGACGGAATTTAAAATTCACTCATGAACTCCGCAAACGCTGACTTATTTTGGCATAAAAAGAAATTAACGTGGAAAATTGGCCGATTTTGACCTTAATGCGAGAAATCAATGAGGACATTTTTTCGTGTCATATTCCTTCGCGTACTTTTTCTTTTCTTTTCGGAGTGAGGACAGAAAGAAGAAAGACTGAGAGACTGAAACTATGAATGATAAATAATCTTTTTTCCTAATGGCTGATGCTCAGTGTGTGTTAAAAGCATCTTTTTGCACACACTTATACAGATCATTACATAATCAGCCAAAACATAGAATAGCAGTACAGTGGAACCCCAATGGTTTCTTAACGACTCAGCCATGTTTCTAGAAAAAATATTTAAGGTGTATTTAAGGTGATTTTATTTTTCATATCTGTTGTTGTTTTTTTTCTTTTTAATACGAATTAAAAGCTTTTTGATACATTTAGTTAGATATTATTGCCCAAAAAACCGTGTGGACTCCAGGGTGACATAATAGTAGCTTACATGTAGGGGATGGACGGTGGTCAGTCCTACGCACCCTGACGTCATAACCAAAACTTCTTCCATCGTTTCCTTGGTTACAATTTGCCTCGTGTTGCCCATGACCAGCGATTAAAAAGAGTCCATTCGAAACGTGAAAGAGTTATAAACATAATACGACTCAATTTAAACATTTACACTGCATTTACAGCCTTACAGTAAATTGTTCAATTGTGGTAATTCCCTTGCTTAGTGCCTTCACGGCATCTCGCGGGCACATACGCAAATATGCATTTCCGCGCGGAATAATGAGGCCTCTCGGGAAAAGGCAGGTGACTGATACCCACGTGAAATGACTAAGATTATCCTGCGAGCAGAAGTTTCTCTCTTGCATGGCTTTTAGCGTTTAAGAAGTCGTTCGCGTCGCTTCAGTCAGTCGCGAGAAACCTCCTGGGGCGTAAATAAACCAACTACACGACAGACAAGCCACCCCGGCGAACGACTTTGTAAAGGCTAAAAGCCATGCTGAGAGAAACCTCTACTTGCAGGGTGGAATAACACCCGGACTTTAACAAATTTAAGGAAACGACGAGATACGCAAGAGTTTAAAGGCCGTCATATAACGCCAATCAACTACAACCTTTATTTACATGCATGTTTGATAATTTTTTTT